TCAGGTCGCCAACGGAACTTTAAAAAAAAAGAGAGAAAAAATAAAATCATTAATTTTTTCTTAACGTGTTACTCAAGTTTGATTTGCTTTATGTTTCATCCTAATAAGACATTGGGAGGAAGGGGAGGAATTTGCTGCTTTGTTTGGCCAAGGTCTCAGCAGACAAAGGCACACTCCCCTGTGAACATAGCTTGCCAAGAAAACCCTGTGATAATAGGGTTGCCATAAGTCAGAAACGACTTGAAAGCACACAACAATTGAGTGTAATATAGAACGACATCCAGTTCACAAGCAAGGCCTCTGCTGGAAGCCAACATTTAGAAATGTCACTTTTTTCAACTCTGGTTCCAGACATCCCTCACCCATTGTGGTCCATGGTGCCTGGATGAGTCTGGAGTCCAGAAAGTGTCCCATCCCCCCCATACTGGTTGTGGCACTCCACTGTCTCAAGAATGAAGTGTTAGCTTCCAAGTGAAGCCTGCTACAGTGACGTGAAGCTTTCCGGCAATTTCAAACATTGAATGCCATGCAGGACAGCACTGTTTTGGCTGCCCAAAAGAAGCTTAAAAGAGACGGAGGCAGCCCAACTTCCTTGGGTAGGGAGTACCACAGTTGAGGCACTGCTACAGAGAAAGCTCTGTTAGGTATATCCGCCAGCCTAACTTCACAAGCTTCTGGGACACACAGTGGCCGCCTCTGAGGAGCTCAGATTTCTGGCAGGCTCATATGGGAAGAGGTGGTCTTTCAGGTATCCTGGCCCCCAAGTTGTTTAGGGCTTTGCCTGTCAACAACAGCACCTTGAGTTGAGCTCTAATTGGAAGCCAGTGCATCTCTTGCAAGACCAGTTTATAAGGTCTGTAAAATGCACACATAACAGAAGTCTTGTGGCTGCATTTTGCACTAGCTACAGCTTCCAAACACTTTTTCAAGGGTAGCCCCATGTATAGCACATTAAAATAGTCTAGTTGGGAGATAAGGCATGAATTGCTATAGCCAGTTCTGGCTTCCCCAGTAAAGGGCACAGCTAGCATACTAGCTGAAACTGGGCAAAGATGCTCCTGGCCACTGAAGAAATTTGGCTTCCCAGGAGCAGTGCTGGGTTCAAGAGTATCCCCAAACTACAAACCTGATCTTTCAGATGGAGTGCAACCATAGAATCATAGAATCATAGAATCATAGAGTTGGAAGAGAC